TTCATACAATAATAGCTTACCAAGTTTATTCAGTAAGAGTAAAAGTGTCATCCCTAAGTATCTGAAATACATTTAAAAAGAATGAGTTTCTTTACATGGTGGATGGTGAAGTGTTGAAACCCCACACCCATGGGATACAACCATAGACTAGAAGGTACCAGAGGGCTTCCCTGGTGGCTCAGTGGTTAAGAATCTGCCTGCTGATGCAGGAGACGTGGGTTCGATCCCTGGGTCAGGAAGATCCTCTGGTGAAGGAAATGGCCACCTACTCCAGCATTCTTGCCTGGAAAATCCCATAGACAGAGGAAGCCTGGTGAGCTGTAGTCCATGGAGCCCCCAGATTCAGACGTGACTTCGCAACTAAACAACAACAAAGAGGATAACATCAGAGGCATCAAAGGAATGAGGCATCTGAAAGGGTGACCCAAGGCTAAAACCAGATGTGTGGATGCCATTTTCCTGAGTATCTAACTGGTGACAAAGATAAATATAACCTGACTTCATGATGGGCAAACAGCTTCTGGTTTTCATGGGTACTGTCTCTTTAGCTAAGAAAAGAACACCTTGATCTGTGTCCTATTTCCATTCCATTCTCCCTCAGCGGACCCACGTAGTTGAAATATGGCCACATCTAGTAGGCGGAGAGTTCTAAGGAGAAGTAAGATAAACCATCATCATGCTGGTTTTAAAGGGCTCATTATCACCTTGTAAGTTAGTTTAAGAAGTAACATGCCAAGAGCAAAGCTGTGAAGCACAGTTAGATTCTTGGAGTAAACAAGCTACATATTTGAAGATGATGGGGAAATCAATATCTTTCACAATTTTTAGCATACAAGGTGGATTTTTCCTTTACATGGTTAAGGTGAGGGAAAAACGGGTATTTCAGAAACAAATTCACCTTTTTTTCTGTCTGATTCTGTTTATAGTAATACTATTTTACTGTTTTTATTTGTTCTGAAGTTTTGTTCTCTGAGAGTATTCCTATATTGTTTGAGGGCGAATTTTAAAAAGCCATAAATGTACAAGGAGGAAAAGACACTCAAGCCAGATCTCCGCCCTCTTTCAGGCCATTAAGCTCCTCGAATGGCTTGGGTTGCTCTTTCATTTGTGAGATAAAGAAGGCAAATAGTCCAGTTTGAAACTATGGTCAAGACCCTTCTGTCCTTAAAGTCAAGGAAATGGGCTATTGTGGTTAATTGAACAGTCTCATCAACTGAGATTTACTACCTGTTTTGTATGTGAGGTGTAACCAAAATGCAATAAAGGATAATCACCATTAACACTAAATTGAGCAAAATGTAATCTTTGCTGATTCAGAGGTTAGTTCGATCTCTGTGATGCCTCATGGCCATTGTAAACAATCACTAATTACGTAATATATAAGAGGCTTTGGGGATCAGGCTGGGTCTGCCGCAGTCTGTGAATTGCTCTTTTCTGTTCCTCCCTGAGACATGTTTACTTTTATTTATCTCTCACAAAAGATAAAAGTTGAATGTGCCCCAAGCAATCCAGTTATTTCATCTGTAAAATCATTCGTGTTCCTGATAAAATGAGAAGTCACGATACATCTTGCTCCTATCCAGTGCAACTCCAAAGCTACATGTGGCTTACCGGGTAAAGAGATCATATTTTGCCAACTAAGTGCCTAACGAAGTCTATCATCTGTCATTCTACTTATCTTGGCGGATGTAGTAGAATTGCCATCGGTTAGTTTTGTGGCATAATGTCCCAAGTCCCAACCTAAAGTTGGTTGTAGCTCATCTTGTGACTGCATGACAACTAATGTGACCCAAGGAAATTTAATTCATGTACTATGATTTTAGGACTCAATTCGTGTCATTTCCTTGTGAATTACAGAGGAATGACACTTTATAAATCCACAACTCTATCTGTGGTAGGCACTTCCAAGTGGATTGCATTCTCACAAACTGGGTTTTCCATTAGAAAGATTTGTGGTGGTTGTAGCACATCATCAGCCAAGAGTAAGCTGCGATGAATGTAAATCTCTGTCTGGCCACGGCTCTCCCAAAGACAAAACAGTGTGAACCAAGAGAGAGTCTGTGCAGTGTTTTCCTGTTTCTAAGCAGAAGCCTCCCATGCTTCGGCAGAATGTTGTGGCTTGATAGAGGACATTGCCATATGTTGTTACTTTTTTCTAAATGTCTAGCTTTGAACTAATTTGGTAGATACTCTTTCTCTTTAACTTTTGGTACTTTTTTATCCCAGGGTCTAAAATGCCTTATATCCAGAAATTCTTTCTTACGTTGAATTATTTTTGTTTATGATGATGTAGAACATCTGGTCACTATCTGCAGTTGAATTTTTAAAGAGTTTGTCAGGGCATTCATTCATTCACTCATTCATTGCCCTGTTTTTATTACTAAAGTCATGTAATGCTCGGGTCTAGGGGCTCCATGGTGGAGAAGGCAAATATGGTGCTCACTTTTATGTACATTACAGTTTAACTTTTCAGTAAGTTTGATGCTACAAAATAACACCCTTGGTCTCACCACCTCTTCTGCTACAGAAGGAGATTCTGTTCTTGGGCTCTAGCAGGTCTCCAGACATTGTTTAACAAGCTTAGGCAGCCGGCATTTCATGTGTCAGATGGCTGGGTTCTTCCTCCTTTGGTGTTATCCAATGAGGCACTTTCTAATTGAGGTGTCTAGTAAATTTATTAAACTCACGCCATTGACTTTGATTTCTTAGTTCCCTTTTTAAAAAGTTGATTTATTTATTTTTGGCTGCACTGGGTTTGTTTCTATAAGCAGGCTTTCTCTAGTCGCGCCAAGTAGAGGCTACTCTTCATTGAGGCGTGCAGGCTTCTCATTGCGGTGGCATTTTTGGTTCCTGAGCATGAGCTCTAGGTGAACAGACTCAGTAGTTGTGGCACACAGGCCTAGTTACCCCACAGCATGTGGAATCTTCCTGGACCAGGGATCAAACCCAGCCCCCTGCATCGGCAGACAAACTGTTAACCACTGGACCACCAGGGAAGGCCCCTTTTTTACCTCTTAATTAATGAGCTTTGCTGATTTTTAAAAATGATGTGTTGTTTGTAACACTAAGTTTCTAAGACCAGATGATACTATATCAGAACAGAAGTTAGGTGTTTTTATAAATGGAGGTGATGGTTTGTACGATGGAGTCAGTCCTTAAAGTAGGGTGTAGGAGTATGTGGTGAATGTGAAGTCCTGTGGCCAGACATAGGAATTTTGAATAGAATTGTCACTAGGAAGGTCTTTGAGAGGAATGGATTTGGGCAGAGGGCGGGTGGAGGAGGCTGTTTCTTAGCTCTGGATTAGAAATAAGAGTTTCTATTTAATGAGCATCTACTCTGTGCCAGGGGTTATGCTTGACATTAAGCATAATTGTATCTAAACATCAAGTCAACCCTGTGAGGTTGGTATTGTCCCCATGTACAAATAACATCCTGAGGTTCAGAGAAGTTAACAAATTATCCAAAGGTCAAGGTAAATAGCCTCCATGACCAAGTAGGTTATAGAACCAGGATATGAATCAGGTGTGTCTTCCTGCACAACCTATAACCTTAAAAATATGACAGTTTTCAAAAGACAGTTGTTAGGAATACACAGGTAACACATGTTCATGATAATGATCCACATAATGTTATATGTAAATAGAGTAAAATAGTAGCTCCTTCCTTCCCTCTAGTTATACCTATAACATAACTTCAGTGACCAATTTGGTGTTGCTCTGTTGCTTATACAGACATGTAACATATTTTAGGGGTTACATTCTTTTCCCAACTCTGCCAAGCCAGGTTTCAGGTTCATAGCTCACAAATCTCTGGTTGAGGATGGAAACCTGTTCTATGCATTATTGTCCTGGTTGCTTTTGAATGACCCTTATGAAAACAGATTCAAAAAACTTCCTTGGCCAGTTGTTTTGTTATTTAAACCTTACTCTAAAAAGAAACATTTTCTATTTCATTAACTCAGATAATTTTTTTGCAGTTTGAGTCATTTCTGTCCTGCTCTGTTTATGGGTTGATGGAGAGCAGCTGGTTACCATATCTGGTGCAGTTACAACTTGGAAACCTGAAAAAAATCAAATTAATGTGGGGAATATTAAAAACTGAAACACTCATCTAATGTAAAAAAAAAAAGACACTGAAAACAGTTGAAATTTCTTTCAGTTTCTTTTAAAAGAAGCTATAAGAAATCTAGAAACAAATTTAGAATTACAAAGATTGAAAGTTTTGTATTGTAACCTATGCTTTTTAATTTTTAAATTTCAGATCTACAGGTGCCTAAGCAGAGTCCACTTAACATTATATCTTTCCTATGAGCATTTTTATCTATAGCCCTACTTGATTTAAAAAATAAAGCAAAATAAAAAATTCTCAGACCTGATAACTTCTGATGTATCAATCCTTTAAACTAGAGAATACATAGGAGAAGCTTCGTTCTACTTCATTCTTATCATAAAGTATAAATAATTTCACTAAGAGCTTGCCATATATCAGGTACTCTACTGACTGCTTTATATGTACTGTTATATAATCTTCAAGTTTATGAATGGGTACAGTTTTTAGCCCCATTTTTCAGATAAGAAAACTGAATCACAGACAGTGTATGTGTTTGTCCGAGTCACCTGTGATTGTTCAAACTCTTAATTTTTGGTTACAAGTTTGCTGTTTATCACTGTTCTTCACCTGTCAAGTATTATGTAATTTCGCCTCTAGTGTTCTTAACCTATTCATAGTACCTTTATCGCCAGTGGCATCAGTGGGAAGTCAGATCAACTCACTAACTCACCAAGTTGTCAAATTTGCCAGATTGACCATTCACCTTGGACAATTTCTAAACAGATATTAGATGTCATTTATTCATGAAAAGGAAATTTTTGAAAGTTAAATGTATTCTAAATGTTTGCTATTTAATCTTACAAATACAATTGCATATGCTACATGTTACGTACTCCCAATGTCTTTAGGACACTTTGAATGTTATTTTTTTTTTTTTTTTTCAACACAGAATCAGTTTATTCCAATGAAGTACTCCCGCCAAACGAAAGCATGTTGTGCACATGTTTATTTGAATTATTCCTACTGAAGGTCCTTATTTCTGGAGAACAGCCAGGCATCTTGTGATCCACTCCTTCCACTCTTTAAAGGCTTCCACAGGTTTTGGCAAAGTTACCAGCTCCTCACGACTGTGTTTTGGAGTAACTCTAGGAGTGTCGGTGGATTTTATTTCCTCACATTGTAAGCATTTAAAATATTCTTTACAAAATTTCTCAAATGGTAAGAGAACAGTAATTTTGTATTTCTAACAAGTTATAATGTTAACTATAAGTTATCAAAGAGAATCTTATTCATTGTGAAACTTAAAACTCTACTGTGTGGAACAGAAATGAGGACCTCAGGAGAGAGCGTTGTTGTTCAGTCACTAAGCTGTGTCTGACTCTTTGCAACCCATGGACTGTAGCCTGCCAGGCTCTTCTGTCCATGGGATTTCCAAGCAAGAATACTGGAGTGGATTGCCATTTCCTTCTCCAGGGGTTCTTCCCAACCCAGGGATCAAACCCGCCCTTCCTGCATTGGCAGACAGCTTCTTTACCACCCCCTGGAAAGAAATGGACCATCAATTAAATCTACTCATCCCATACATATTAATTTAAAACATAAAGAATTGTGAAGATCAAAAATGAACTTGTCAGAATAAAATATTGCTATAATATGAATATTAATCCATTGGCAGGACAAAAAAATCACTTTTTAAAATTAAAAATATTTAGGATGAGGTTAAATAGTACTCTCGTGTTCAGTAGTTTGCTTGAAGGACTTATACAGCTCACTGAAAGCTTGTGTACTTACAGATATGGCCTGTTACAGGGGATACAAATCAGAACCTTTGAGGAGGCCTCACAAATAGCTGTGAAAAGAAGAGAAGCGAAAAGCAAAGGAGAAAAGGAAAGGTATACCCATTTGAATGCAGAGTTCCAAAGAACAGCAAGGAGAGATAAGAAAACCTTCCTCAGTGATCAATGCAAAGAAATAGAGGAAAACAATAGAATGGGAAAGACTAGAGATCTCTTCAAGAAAATTAGAGATACCAAGGGAACATTTTGTGCAAAGATGGGCTCAATAAAGGACAGAAGTGGTATGGACCTAACAGAAGCAGAAGATATTAAGAAGAGGTGGCAAGAATACACAGAAGAACTGTACAAAAAAGATTTTCACGACCCAGATAATCACAATGGTATGATCACTCACCTAGAGCGAGATATCCTGGAATGCATAGTCAAGTGGGCCTTAGGAAGCGTCACTGCGAACAAAGCTACTGGAGGTGATGGAATTCCAGTTGAGCTATTTCAAATCCTGAAAGATGATGCTGTGAAAGTGCTGCACTCAATATGCCAGCAAATTTGGAAAACTCAGCAGTGGCCACAGGACTGGAAAAGGTCAGTTTTCATTCCAATCCCAAAGAAAGGCAATGCCAAAGAATGCTCAAACTACCGCACAATTGCACTCATCTCACACGCTAGTAAAGTAATGCTCAAAATTCTCCAAGCCAGGCTTCAGCAATACGTGAACCGTGAACTTCCAGATGTTCAAGCTGGTTTTAGAAAAGGCAGAGGAACCAGAGATCAAATTGCCAACATCCGCTGGATCATCGAAAAAGCAAGAGAGTTCCAGAAAAACATCTATTTCTGCTTTATTGACTATGCCAAAGCCTTTGACTGTGTGGATCACAATAAACTGTGGAAAATTCTGAAAGAGATGGGAATACCAGACCACCTGACCTGCCTCTTGAGAAACCTGTATGCAGGTCAGGAAGCAACAGTTAGAACTGGACATGGAACAACAGACTGGTTCCAAATAGGAAAAGGAGTACGTCAAGGCTGTATATTGTCACCCTGCTTATTTAACTTATATGCAGAGTACATCATGAGAAACGCTGGGCTGGAAGAAGCACAAGCTGGAATCAAGATTGCCGGGAGAAATATCAATAACCTCAGATATGCAGATGACACCACCCTTATGGCAGAAAGTGAAGAAGAACTAAAGAGCCTCTTGATGAAAGTGAAAGAGGAGAGTGAAAAAGTTGGCTTAAAACTCAACATTCAGAAAACTAAGATCATGGCATCTGGTCCCATCACTTCATGGCAAATAGATGGGCAAACAGTAAGAGACTTTATTTTGGGGGGCTCCAAAATCACTGCAGATGGTGACTGCAGCCATGAAATTAAAAGACGCTTACTCCTTGGAAGAAAAGTTATGACCAACCTAGACAGCATAGTAAAAAACAGAGACATTACTTTGCCAAAAGGTCCATCTAGTCAAGGCTATGGTTTTTCTAGTAGACACGTATGGATGTAAGAGTTGGACCATAAAGAAAGCTGAGCGCCAAAGAATTGATGCTTTTGAACTGTGGTGATGGAGAAGACTTTTGAGAGTCCCTTGGATTGCAAGCAGATCCAACCAGTCCATCCTAAAGGAAATCAGTCCTGAATATTTATTGGAAGGACTGATGTTGAAGCTGCAACTCCAATACTTTGGCCACCTGATACCAAGGACTAACTCATTGGAAAAGACCCTAATGCTGGGAAAGATGAAAGGCAGGAGGAGAAGGGGAAGACAGAGGATGAGATGGTTGCATGGCATCACTGACTCAGTGGACATGAGTTTGGATGGACTCCGGGGGTTGGTGATGGACACGGAGGCCTGGCATGCTGTAGTTCATGGGGTCGCAAAGAGTCGGACATGACTGAGCAACTGAACTGAACAAACCAGAACCAGCCAAGGGAAGAGACACAAAGGGCAGAGTCTGGAAGGGGACCCGACATGGAGCATCTGGCCCTCCTCCACCTGTGAGGTCCTAGCCTTACCCACTCTTGACCAGACTCTGTGACAGTATGCACAGGGGACTGCTAACAAGGGAAGCTCTCTGAAGGTTTTGGTGTCCAGAGTTTTTACTGGTGTTTGCTCACAGTCATCCTAAGTGGCTGACCCTTCATCTCTAGTGTCTCCTGGAGGTCTGACTACTACCTTTGGTCTCTTGCTCCTCTGGACATCACAGCTGATACAGTATGAACCAAAGCTCCCGTCATAAATCATGTTTTATACTGTCAGTGGCCATAGCCCCAGAGAACAGAGATGCTCCTTTCAGGCAGGATATTCTTAGGCCTGGAGATTAAGGTTAATTCTTCACTACATAGATGTACAGTTTTCTAAGTAGTGTATTTCATCATCAGTGGTGCGAAATGGAATATTCTCTTTATTACCTGTTAAATCAAACTTGTTATAGGTGTACAAATTAGTGGTTTTCATTTTTTCAAATTTTATTTATTTATTTTTGGTTGTACCATGTCGCTTATTGGATTTTTAGTTCCCTGACCAGGAATCAAACCCATGCCCTTGGCAGTGAGAGTACGGAGTCCTAGCCACTGGACTGCCAGGAAATTCCTGCATTTTTTTAAATTTCAAAGTTTTCATTTGACAAAGTGATTTTCAATCCATTGACCATTTGGAGAACTGGTTTGGGGGCAGATTGATTTTCACTGAATATGTTAAGACAGTGGTTCTCAGATTCCAGCAAGCATCGGAGTCACTTGGATGGCCTATTACAACCCAGGTTACTGGTAGCCCGCCAGGCTCTTCTGTCCCTGGGATTCTCCAGGCAAGAATACTGGAGTGGGTTGCCATTTCCTTCTCCAATGCATGCATCCATGCTAAGTCACTTCAGTCGTGCCTGACTCTGTGAGACCCTATGGACAGCAGCCCACCAAGCCCCTCTGTCCATGGGATTCTCTAGGCAAGAACACTGGAGTGGGTTTCCATTTCCTTCTCCAAGGTCTAGGTTGGAGCCCCATCAATTTATACTCTAAGGAGTTCCCGGGAGATGCTAATGTTGCTGACCCAGGGGCTCACTTTGAGACCCACTGGAATAGAGTGTGAGATGTATGTCAGGTGTGAGGAAAGAGATGTGTCACTGAAATGAGGCAGGAGAACAGGGCAGAGAAGTCAGGAAGCAAGGCACTGCTTTCCGTGTCCTGTTGGCAGGAACGTTTGGGAATGCTCCCCATCTCAGCTTGGCTCTGGGCCCCCAGGATGGAGACCATGAGTTCAGGGAGAGAGCCTGAACCCACGTCTCCCCCGGAGCACAGCTGTGGGATTCGGCTCTCTGTGTGTGAGGCACGCAGGGCCCTTGTGTGTTCCTGTAAGCGGACGCCAGAGTGAGCCTCAGCGGCTTGTGCGAAGGACGCCTTGTAGAAGCGTTTCGGAAACCAAAATCCGTCTTTAACTTGTTTCTTTCTTAGCTTCTCGAGGACTTCATTGTGTTCCCTTGCTTTTTAAGTCCCGTAACTGTCTTCCTTTCTCTCCCACCTCAGGCCATGTTCAGTCTCTGTATGGTGGAAAGTGGTGCTGACGAGGTGAATTTACACGGTGTGACCAGTCTTGGCTTAAAGCAGGCCCTGGAGTTTGCATACACAGGACAGGTATGGTACCAGATGTCACCCAAGAGGCTTAACTTCACATGACCAGGGGAGATTATCCTTGAGGAATGAGGTCTAGGTATTTTTCTTGTTATTCATGTCCATGTTAAACAAAAGTTTTGCCTCCACTTAATAACTAAAATAATAGAAAGGAAAATAGAACACTTTGATTTTAAATATGACCCAGGAAATATAGTATTTTAGCCTTAGCTCAGTGGCTTGCTATGATTTTTAAATATCTTAAGGGATTATTATATGGGAAAGAGTTTGCAAGATAACTCAAATTTTCCTTGTTATCAGTTCACTGAAGCTCATTGACTCAATCATGGCTTTATTGACCCAAAAGACCAAATTAAAGCTTTAAAGAGCTGTGTCTAACATCTTGGTACCCTATCCTCTGCATTTATTTCAGGGTCAGGGCCTCAAGTAATAGATTAGAATGTGATAGTTTAAAACCAAAGTTTGTTCAGCACTAGAATCATTAGAGGACCTACAGGAATCTCCAGAGAACATTCATTTTATCTCTTGCTTTTTAAATGAAAGAATAATAGTGACAACAACATATGTTAGTGTATGACTATCAGAGAAAATCAAAGCAAAACTGCATAGGAACAATATGAGCATAGATCTGAAGCTTCATCTTTCTTACCTAGTTGCATGTTAGTGAAACAACTAGTAGAACACGCGAAACCCATCCTTATAGAATTATTTTTAAATTGAGATGTAATTTTTTTAAGATTTATTTTTGACATGGAGCATTTTAAAAGTGTTTGTTGAATCGGTTACAGTATTACTTCTATTATTTATGTTCTGGTTTTTTGGCTACGAGGCATGTGGAATCTTAGCTTCCAGATCAGGAATCGAACCTGCACTCCCTGCATTGGAAGGTGAAGTTCTAACTACTGGACTGCCAGGGAAGTCCCAATTGAGATGTAACTGACATATAACATTATATTAGTTGCAGGTATACAACAGAATGATTTTCAGTATGTACAGCAGAATGATTTACAACAAAACGATTACTGTAATAAGTTTAATTAATGTCTGTCACCACACAAAGTTGACAAATTTTTTGTGTGATGAGGACTTTTAAAATCTCCTTTCATAGCATGTTTTAGATATACAGTACAGTATTGCTAACTATAGTGGCTGTGTTGTACATTACATCCCAGGACTTATTTATCTTAAAACTTTTATATCTTATAAAAGTTTGTACCTTTGACCACCCCCCTTCACACACCTTGCCCACCCTTGTCACCACCTACTTTCCTTTGAGAGCTGCTCAACTACGCCAGATCAGATACCGAGTAGTTGCTTATCTCCTTTTATAGAGTTTTGTTCTTTCATTTCATTTCATCCAACTTATGTTGAGTGTCTTCTGTGCTAAAATAAGGGCTCCTTCTCTTGGCAGGCTCACATCCTGGTGGGGGAGAGTCGTACACATAATTCCATGTCCTCACTGTGGCGGGAGGTATAATAGAAGCAGAATACAGGACACAGTGGGGACAAGAGAGGATGTGGTTAAGTCGGTTCCTCAGTGCAAACCTTCGCAGAGAAGGTGGTACCCGGGTCTTGAAAAATGTTGGGAGTTGAGTTTCTTACTGGCGTTCTTTCTTCAGAGGCACATTAAGGTATATGATATTGTTCATTCTCTTTTCCAGAACTGGTAGAATGTGAGATAGGTTTCATAGAATAGCTGGGGCAGCTCTGGCACCTGCAATGAAAGCAGTAGGTAGGGACTGTAATGGGGAATACATGTAGATCCATGGCTAATTCATATCAATGTATAACAAAAACTACTGTAATGATGTAAAGTAATTAGCCTCCAACTAATAAAAATTTAAAAAAAAAAAAAAAAGAAAGCAGTAGGTAGAAAGGGCAAAAATCAGCCATCAAGGAGTGGGTGCAGAGGAGAGTACGGCGGAGATGGATCACAAATTCAGGATGAGCCCAGCCGCATGTCGTGCCTTAGGGGAGCAGGCAGTGACTGTTCAGAGTGGTCAGAACGTGTTCCTGGTGAGGTGAGTGAGTGATTGTTGTGTGCCGTGTAGCTCATAGATGTGAGGAAGACCCCGGCTCTAGCTCGGGTCTCGTGTGCATTTCTCTCCCCACGCCTGAGTCACAGCTGTGCCTGCCTTCGCCTGTGTCTGAAGTACGCCTGAGAACCCGTAGCTCACACTTCACCGGCGACCAGTGGGGGTACAGCAGTAAATATTGTTTTTTTATAAGCCTGCCCAATAAGTACTTTCTATATTTAGACGCCTTAACAACAAAATGGCTTAAGCTTAAAGGCTATAGGGTGCAAAGCGTGTTTATATCACTGGTAAACGGCAGAGCATAAAAACTGCTGTGAATGCTGAGGTAAAACACTCAAATGTTTAAGAGGCTGCCTTATTGTTTGCCTTGTTTTGTGGTTTCTTTCTCAGTGGTTAAGTTCACATATTATATGTATTGAATATATGTATAAACTTCTGTGTATATAAACTTGTATATGCATTTATATACTTATGTATTTCTTTACCCTGAAAGTCCCCTTTTCTTCCCCTGTTCATCTCTCCCCCTCTCCCCTTGACAACCAATAACAGATTTTTTTTTCCTGTCTCTATAGTTTTGTCTTCTGAAAAATGTCATATATTTTTTGGAATCATACAGTATGTAGACTTTTCAGATTGGTCTCTTTCACTTAGCCATATGCATTTAAGTTTCCTCTGTGTCTTTTATGACTTGATAGATCATTTTTATTGCTGAGTACTATTCCATTGCATGGATATATGAAGGGCATCTTGATTGCTTCCAGTTTTTGGTGATTATGATGAAGTTATATATATATATATATATATATATGTATATACATACACACAGATGCACACATATACACACATGTATGTATATACAGACATTGGAAAAGACCCCGATGCTGGAAAAGATTGGGGGCAGAAGGAGAAGGGGGAGACAGAGGACGAGATGGTTGGATGGCATCACCAACTCAATGGACAGGAGTTTGAGCAAGCTCTGGGAGATGGTGAAGGGACAGGGAAGCCTGGCGTGCTCTCGTCCCTGGGGTCGCAAAGAGTCGGACATGACTCAGCGACAGAACAACAATACACGGACACAGTGTGTGTCTGTGTGTATAGTGTACCTGTGGCACAAAGGACCTATGAAACTTGAGCTGAAGATTAGGGTATTAGGGGAGCTGACTTCTGAAGGGTAGTGAAAGTTGCTGTCATGTCCGACTCTTTGCGACCCTATGGACTATATACAGTTCACGGAATTCTCCAGGCCAGAACACTGGAGTGGGTAGCCATTCCCTTTTCCAGGGGACTTTCCCAACCCAGAGATTGAACCCAGGTCTCCCGCGTTGCAGGCGGATTCTTTACCAGCCGAACTACAAGGGAAGCCCTTTGAAGGCTAAGGAGACTGCTAGGGAATAGGGAAGAAGTTTGCAGAAGAACAAATGTGTGTGTGTGCACTTAAAAACGAAGTTCTAGGGGGAGACTTAGAGTTGCATTTATCCTGCCCAGTGACCCATTCTTGATGTTGCATCCACACAGAGGGGACAGTCCTGCAGCATGGCCAGCAGTAACTTAGCTTTTCAGATCGTGCGCTGAAGGGACAGGAAGTGGGCTGGCATTTCATGGATCACCCTCTGCGAGAACAGGGGCACTGCTCCAGGCATTTCAGGTGCGCTGTGTAGCCTAATAGTCCAGACAGCTCTGAGGAATTTAGTGACCCTGATGTAAAGATGACGAGCCCGGGAAGGTGCAGTAAATGACTGAAGGTCAATCTCCCAGGGCATATTGACCCAGTGACCCAAACCCAGTCCTCTTAATTTCAAATCCTTTTCATTTATTCTTAACCCTTTCTTAATGCTCTATGTCATTAAGAAAATATTAAGTCATATTTGTTATACCTTGATTGAGGAGGTGGGGAAGTATTCGGACATTTTAGAAAGCAAACTCTTTTTGATCGCTCTCCCGACCTGGGTGCTTTTCCAGTGCTGAGTTCATGAGGGCTCTGAGTGCTGCATCTGTACTTTGTATGTGATTATTCTTTGCTGCAGAGTGGAAGTTGGTACAGTCTTTCTTGAACAACATCCATAGCAGTTTAGTTTCTTAAAACACCAAAATGACTTTATGATAAATCTGGTTTCTCTTTGAAACATGAACATAGATGATGGCAAAAAATGGAATTATAGTATACTTGGGAAATGCAGAAAAGCTTTGTCTTACTCTAGAAATGAAATGAACATTAAGCAAAGAGTTTAGAATAAAAACATGAATAAAAGCATGGTTCTTCAATTTCTTACTTGTTATTTACTGCTGTGGACATTTGCTGAAAGACGGTCTTCAGCCATAATATGTATGTGGATTTGTCAAAATCTGAGTTAACATTTACATTATCTACCTAAGCTATTCCTACTGATAGTTGATTATACCTTCAGTCTGTTGTAGTAGGCATAGTATAAAAATGTTAAGTATTCTAAGTGCCTGAAAATCGTTACTGTCTTGGGAGGGAAATCGAAAGTATAGAGTGGGCGTGATGAATGAGTACCACCATGTTACAAGGTGTGTGTGTGTGTGTGTTCCTCCTGCACACGGTTCTAAAGCAGAGCCTTCTTAGAATTGGTCACAGACATCATCCAGGAAATTTTAAAGAAAAGTCAAACTGTCCTCCTAATGCTCACACATCCTTTTCTTATCAGGGAACACCCCCTCCAGCTTCACGCTAATTAGAGGCGCACCTTCCTATGGGAACAGTCTGCTTGGGTCACAGCCTGAGCGGAGCCCCACTGCGTGGCGGTGCTCGTGGGTGACCTCGCCATGGAGAGCAGGGGTGCCAGGCTGTTCTGGGCTGGCTCCAGGAGCTGGCGTAAAGGCAAAGGGTGTGATGCACAACTCACTGGGCAGATCTGCCATAGGGAGAAAAAGGCAAAGGGAGCCCGAGAACACGCCACCTTTCACTTTCCGGAGAGCAAGGGAATCCTGTTCCCCCGCTGTCCCTCA